GAAAAGCAGGAAGAAAGGAGAAGTTTGGAGACTATAGCAGTTATCCAACGAAGAGAAGAAAGTAGGTTGGGGCAGAGTGTTAGCTTTAGGAAAAGTGAGAATTTTTAACACTGTATTTTGAAGACAGAGCCACAGATAGGTGATGGGTTTGATATGGTTTGGAAGAAAAAAATGGATTCAAGGATGACTCATAGGCTTCTGGCTTGTGTAACTAGAAGCTTTAAGCTGTTATTTACCTGAGATGAGGAATGCAGAAGGTGGAGATTTTAGGAAAACACCAGATGTTCAGTTATGGACACAATAATAAATGAATATGTGTTTACTTAGTTTAAAAATGAATTTATTAGTAGTCTATAGTTCATTGCTGACTTCCTGTTAACATGAGATACTTTCAGAATATTTAAAAATTTCCAAGACTTTAATTTTCTTTTTCTCTATTTGGTTGTTGTTTTGCAGTTTTATTGCAAAGTATGTTATGTGTATGACTGCCAAGTATTTGAATTTATACTATTTTCTCTCTGACATATAATCAATTTTTATAAATATTTTGGGAAGTATAGCGTTAGCAGCATAACAAGTGTTGTTTCTGCCTTATATTTACTCTCATTATCTGTTAAATCAACATTTTGTTATTAAAATCTTCCCATTTCCATCTCTTTTTTGGTCTATTTTGTTTGTCAATCATTGAGGAAGATGTGTTATAGTTTCCACATTTTGATTTCTGTTTTATCAGTTTAGTACTATTGGCTATGAATTATAGTTTGTTGTCAATAAAAGTCACTTCCTTTTTATCCCTGTTAGCACGTATCTGAAATGTTTGTATACACTTTTCACTGACATCTAATACACACATAGGAAAGTGTAAAAATCATGCCTCAACATCCTGATGACTTCTTACAAAGTACATTTCACCTGCATTCCCATCGCTGACACCAATAAATTGAACGTATCAGTATGAAGAAAGCCCACAGGGGATGTTATGGGTCATGAATCATGGAAACTACATACAAGGCAGCCTTTCTCACACCTAGTGCAGGTGACTGGGTTGTGCATGGGGTGTTACCCCACCTTGGAGAATGATATTGGAAGGGCCCTTGGATTAGAATTTGTGAATGAAAACCCCTTTTCCTCAGGATAACTGACACATTTCCCACTGGATACAGATTACACAGAGTGAACCCTTCTTGCTGCCAGGAGGGGTGAGCTCCCTTGAGAATGAAGCCTGCTCCCGGAAAAGAGAGAGGAGAAACAGACGACGGTAGCCTGCATTCTGGCCACATCCAGTTCTGACAAAGCCGAGCCCGCGGAAAGCCCAGGGCCTATTAATTGTTCCAGCCAGTTTGGACTGATCCCCGAGTCCCTGGTTCTCACACGTATTCCATGAGATTAATGACATGATGCTGATTTTACAGGGAAAGTAATAGAATCAGAGGAGCTAAGTGACTGACTCAAATCACACAAACTAGCCAGAGTTTTTGACTCCTCATTTAAAATTTCTATCTATGGAAACAATTGTAATGACATTTTTCTCAAAAATTTTCAGTGACTCTATTTGGACTAGAAATGATGGAAAGTTCTTGGAGGTGGGAGGGCACCCAGGCTTTCTACAAAGCTCCCATAGACTTGCCTCAGCTTGTTTCCAACCACTGCCCAAACTGCACCCCTCTACTCAGATCCTCTACCTCTAGCTCACACTCCCACCCCTCACCCCACCGCTCTCTTTCCCCGTTTACAACCTTTATTCAGCCTCTGCTTTCCCCTCCTATTGGGAGATGTCACCGTGAAATTGTCTCTTGTGAGGAGAGGCATTTTCCCCTCTAGGAATAGGAAGGAGTGGTGGCTCCAGGTGCGTGCTCTTGAGCTTTCTCGCCCGAGGGGCCAAGTTCAAGCCTCTTTAGTTATCACTTGAGAACATGGGAAAGTGTTTGTGAAGTGATTCCACGTTCTCCAGAGAGGGATTCTCCAGGGCACGTAATTCAATGTCATATAATGTTCTAGAATCAGTACAGTAAATCTCTGACTGGTATTTCTGAGAAGGTGGCTTTGGCCAGAGGTAAAACATCAGACACAGAAGTGTGAAATTAAAGAGACAGAGTCAATAGGTAAGAAGGTGAAGCTTCCGCTTGTGCACCTGATGGTGGGTTTTCCATGTACATCTCTTCTCCCTGAGAGCTGGAGATGCTGTTGAAGGATTTCTCTGTGCTCAGGAATCACCAGACACAGCTGAAACGTTTGAATCGGTAGACTCTTGGTTTTGATGCTATTCAATTTGTTTTTCTCTTTTTTAAGAGAAGAGTTTAGATAATAATTAGGGGTAGAAGTACTTTGCATGAACTAATCGTCAAATCTTAGAAGTTTGGAACTGGAAGGGAACTTGGTAAATAAGTCTAATTCTTACCATTTTTCAATTGCAAGGATGAAACCTACAGTAGGGAGTGATTGGTGAGTTAGGTCTAAGATAGCGTAAGGGTCTTCTAAGTTACAGAGAACGTAGAGCATCTGTGGTGAGCTGCTCTTCACCACTCATGAACATTCTGTTCCATAACATGCCTACAGTCAGTTCTAGAAGGTTTTCTATTTTGTTTATATGATACCCTAAATTTTCTAATTTAAAAAACCTATTCACTTTTATATTTAGTTTTTAAATCCTCAGCTAAGGATACACTTTTATTGATCTTAGAGAGAAAAGGTCAGGGGAGAGAAACATCCATCAGTTGCCTCCCGTATGTGCCCCCACCGGGAATTGAACCCACAACCTTTTGGTGTATGGAACAACATTCCAACCAACTGAGCCACCTGGCAGGGCATAAAAATCTATGCACTTTTAAATATTTTCAGCTGAAAACATGTCATTCTTTTTTCCCCACTAGAAATGGGGTTTAACTGTTTGATCCTGTGACTACATTTTACTAATTTTAGATAATTTTTATATCCAAATATAATTATTATGGCTAATACAGACATTTAATTTGAATGGATGATTATGGTCAAACACAGAAATAAATCAACTTATCTTCTGTCTGCTAATGTCCTACTAATCTGCACGCAAGACAATGCTAAATGACTTCAGCTTTCTTTGTCCTCACTGTGTTCTCCTGGGTTTCTTGTCTCCCATGGTGTATTTGCTGGTTTTCAAAACATCACATAAGGGACATAGGCCTCTATTGTAATAATAAGGTGTCATCAAATACCTCTGGCCTGATCAAGTCACCCCTCCTTTCACATTTCTCCTTCCACCAAATGTAACTTCCACCAGTGACATCCTATGATTATGGTTGTTCACTCTTCCTCCCCCGTCAGAATTAATCTGACCCTCATTGAAATGTGTAAGCACTTGTTATTACTTCTGCTTCCCAAAGTTTGTGTGCTGGTTTCACTTTTTAAAAGACACTTTATTCCTTAAAGGTATAGTGGATTAAAAAAAAAAAACTCATTGAAGGTTATTTGTCCATTGATTTTTAGAGAGAGTGGAAGGGAGAGACGGGGGGGGGGGGGAGGCGGGGTGAGAGAGACACATCGATTGGTTGGTTGCCTCCCATATGAACCCTGACTGGGGCCTGGTATCCAACCTGCAACCCAGGTATGAGCCCTTGAATGGGAATTGAACCTGAGACCCTTCAGTGAGGGCAAATGCTCTAACCATTGAGCAAGACCAGTCAGGGCAAAATATAGTGGATTTTCCTCATTTTTATTCCTTATTCTTCAAATGTTGGTTTAGCATTTATTATGGGCTAGGGATTGTTTTAGACACTGTGAGTAAGGCAAAGAACAAAAGAAAATACTTAAATCCTGGACTTTATATTATAGTGATTAGATTTACATATGTTTATGAAATTTACCTATATTTACTAGTATGTGTATAATGTCAGTTGGTAATAATGAAGAAAAATAGAGCAAGGTATAATGGGAGAAGTTAGAGAGTACAGAAGTCAGGGTAGAATGCTAATTTATGTAGGGTTTCCAGCTCTTTGTGGAGTTGTGGGATGAAATGTGTACCTGAGATTACTGAGCCTAGAAAATGTTAGTTGCTAAATCAGTATTTGTTGAATAATTAATGATTAAATGAAGTTCTCGATGAAAAGGTGAATAGGAGGAGAGAGAAAAGAGAGGGAGAGAATGGAAACATTTAAATTAGTTTCAGAATGACCAAAATTGGACTTTTCTTACAACCCTGCTTTGTGTGTTCTTGTTTTGCCTTTATATGTAATCAAATCATGTACATGATTGATATCACTTGGAGTGCGGGAAACGAGTTAAGTCGGCTCGCGTGAATTGCGCGTACTCCGCGGGAGCCGTCTTAAAACTCGGTTCATATAGATTTGCGGTGGAGTGCGGGAAACGTGTAAACTCGGGCCGATTGTAACTGCGTATTACCAAATATTTGTTTGTAATCCACCCTTTTGGTGGATGGAACAAAACCAAAAGACAGAGCCATCTTATATTTTGGCGGGAAATTCACCCGCACTCCAAGTGATATTTGAACATGATACATATTTGTTATAAATATAAAATAAATTTGCTGTAACTTTGAATTATTAAGTTGTAATAAACATTTTGTGGGTATCTTTTCCCACTTGTCTACTTTTTAATACTTTTTTAAAATTTCATATTATTTAAAATTGAGAAAAATAAATGATACTGATAGCAATGTCATGGGAGTGAAACCCAAATTACAAAACATTTGTTTGTTTTAAGGTTGTGTTTAATTTTCAAACTACATAATGTAAAAGTTGCAAAAGAACTTTGATATGTTTTGTACTTTACAGACAAGGTTTCTGAGCCAGAATTCTTCACTTCCTCCTTTTTATTTGAAAGATGTATTAATCTGAGTAATTGGCCATTCTCCAAAATTGCCAAACTGAATGCCTTCAAGATGGATTCCTCTTTACACCATCTGCCAAGAATATCTGGGTGAATGCAGACACAGACACAGCTATCGGATGGCAACTTCATAACTCATACACCATGTCCATAAAAACAAGGTATGCTACCCTACTGACATGAAAAGGCAGAATCAAAGCTCTGTGGTTGAATTCATCCTCTTGGGCTTTTCTAACTTTCCTGAGCTCCAAGAGCAGCTCTTTGGGGTTTTCTTGGTTGTTTACCTGGCGACCCTGATAGGAAATGCCATCATCATAGTCATCATCTCCCTGGAACAGAGCCTCCACGTCCCCATGTACCTGTTCTTCCTGAACTTGTCTGTGGTGGATGTGAGTTTCAGTGCAGTCATTATGCCTCAAATGCTGGTGGTTCTCTCCACTGAGAAAACGTCAATTTCATTTGTGAGTTGTTTTGCACAGATGTATTTCATTCTTTTCTTTGGTGGGGCTGAATGTTTTCTCCTGGGGGCAATGGCTTATGACAGATTCGCTGCAATCTGCCATCCTCTGAGCTACCCAATGCTTATGAACAAAAGGGTTTTCATGAAATTACTAATGTTCTCATGGGTCTCAGGGGTCATCGTGGCTACTATGCAGACTACGTGGGTTTTTAGTTTTCCCTTTTGTGGCCCCAGTGAGATCAACCATATCTCTTGTGAGACGCCCCCAGTGCTGGAGCTTGCGTGTGCAGACACATTTTTGTTTGAAATCTATGCATTCACTGGCACCATTTTGATCGTCATGGCTCCTTTCTTGTTGATACTCTTGTCTTACATTCGAATCCTCTTTGCCATCCTGCAGATGCCATCAACCACTGGGAGGCAAAAGGCCTTTTCCACCTGTGCCTCCCATCTCACGTCTGTCACCCTCTTCTATGGCACAGCCAGTCTGACTTACTTACAGCCCAAATCTGGCTACTCCCCAGAAACCAAGAAACTGATGTCACTGGCTTACTCACTTCTCACGCCTCTGCTGAATCCACTGATCTACACCTTGCGAAACAGTGAGATGAAAAGAGCTTTGATGAAATTCTGGCGAAGAAAAGTAGATTTGCACACATTCTGACTGTGCTGGGAAGCCCCATGATATTTGGTCATTGCTCGACTGAACTCTTAAATTTAATAAATGCTGGAAATAATTTGCATTTCTTGGTATGAGTATGTTTACCTTTTTGAGTTCTACAAATATGCTAATACATTAGGGTTATCTATATACATATTATTTTCATAGATGCATTTATTCCTTGATATTCAGTATAATACAGTTTCTTCAAAAAATTGTTTATTGGAGGCCATATCAGTGTTTGTTAGATTTTTGTTCCTTTAGAGAAAGCTAAATAAAAATCCCAGTTTTATACATTAATAAATATTGGTGCTTTAATTTCTGCAGAATACGTTTTCCAACTTGAGTTTTGTGGGTTAAAAGAATTGTGAGTTTGCAAACATTCATAAATATTACCAAATTATGTTTTAAAATTTCATTAGCAGATTGCTAAAACTGTGGGTAATATCTGAATGTTGTATACTACTGTTGTCAGTCAAACATCAAAGAAGCATCAGCAAAAAAGTTTCATTGAATTCTATTCCTTGATAGCCTGCAATTTCCTTCTCATAACTCTTAAAAAACCAGTAAGATAAGGCTTATCTAAAACAAACAAACATGCAAACAAAAAGGAAGCTAAATACAGGGTTTCCTTCTAATCATTCTTTAGTCATTTTTTCATTCACTGATTGTATAAATGGTTTTTTTCTTTTTTAATACCCTAATTTATATATTTTCTCATCTTTAATGAGATATAATCAACAATAAAAATTGTATATATTTAGTTGGCTGGTGTGGCTCTGTACTTGAGCTTTGACCAAAGAACCAGGAGGTCAAGGTTCAATTCCTGATCATGGCACATGCCTTCAGTTTGGGACTCAATCCCCAGTAGGTAGCGCGCGGGAGGAAGCTGATCGATGATGTTTCTCTGTCTTCATTGATATTTCTTTTTTTAAAAAAATATATTTTTTATTGATTTTTTACAGAGAGGAAGGGAGAGAGATAGAGAGTTAGAAACATGGATGAGAGAGAAACATCAATCAGCTGCCTCCTGCACATCTCCTACTGGTGATGTGCCTGCAACCAAGGTACATGCCTCTGACCGGAATCGAACCCGGGACCCTTCAGTCCGCAGGCTGACGCTCTATCCACTGAGCCAAACCGGTTTCAGCGATATTTCTATCTCTCTTTCTCCCTTTCTCTCCCTCTCTGAAATCCATAAAAGTATAAAAAAGTAATTGTATATATTTAGAGTACAATGTGATGGTTTGATATGCATACATGTGAAATGGTTATCATAATCAAGTTAATTAACACATCCAAAATCTCATAAAGTTACCTTTTTGTGTTTTTTAGTTGAAAACACTTGAGTTCTATTAGCAACTTTCAAGTATACATACGTTATTAGCTATAGTCACCATAATGTACATTAATTAGATCCTCAGAACTTACCTCGTAACTAAAAGTTTACATCCTTTGATCAATATCTCCTTAATTCTCCTACCCCAGCCCCTGGAAACCACCACTCTACAGTCTGTTTGTATGAGTTAGACTTAAATTTTTACTTATTTATTTAAAATTCCACATATAAGTGATACCATACAGTATTTGTCTTTTTCTGTCTGGCTTATTTCACTTAGCACAATGCCCTCCAGGTTAATTCATATTGTCATAAATGGCAGGATTTCCTTCTTCTGTATGGCTAAAGAATATTCTATTGTATACATATCACTTTTTTATTCATTCCTCCATTGACAGACATGTAGATTGTTTTCATATCTTGACTATTGTGAATAATGTTGTAATAAACATGGGAGTGCAGATATCTCTTCAAAATCCCCTTTTCATTTTCTTTGGCTATATACCTAGAAGTGAGATTGCTGGATCATATGGTAGTTCTATTTTCAACTTTTTGGGGACTCCCTTTTCTGTTTTCCATAGTGGCTGCACCAATTTGTATTTACACCAATAGTGCACAAGAGTTCCATTTTCTCCACATCCTTTTCAACAATTGTTATCTCTTATCTTCTTGATGATAAACATTCTAACAATAAGACGAGAGGTGACATCTTATTGTGGTTTTGATTTGCATTTCCTTGATGATTAATGGTGTTGAGCATCATTTCATGTACCTGTTGGCCATTTGTAGGTTTTATTTGGAAAAATGTCTATTCAGTTCCCCTGCCCACTTTTTAATGAGGTTGTTCTATTTTCCTGTTACTGAGTTGTGTGAATTCTTCATATATTTTGGATATTCACCCCTTAAATATATGGCTTGCAAATATTTTCTCTCATTCTGTAAGATGCCTTTTCATTTGGTTATTTCTCTTGCTGTGCAGTAGCGTTTTAGTTTGATGTAATCTCACATGTTGAATTTTGCTGCTGTTGCTTGTGCTTTTGTTCTCATGGCTAAAAAGTCATTGCCATGACCAAAGTCAAGGAGATTTCCCCCTATGTTTTCTTCTAGGAGTTTTATTGTATCAGGTCTTAGGTTTAAGTTTTTAATCCAGTCAGAGTTAATTTTCATGAGTGTTGTAAGAATGGGGTCCTAATTATATTTTTCTGTATGTGGCTCTCAATATTTTTATTGATTTTCAGAGAGAGGAAGGGAGAGGGAGGGAGAGATAGAAACATTAGTGATGACAGAGAAACATCGATCAGATCAGCTGCCTCCTACATGTCCCCACACTGGGGATCGAGCCTGCAACCCAGGCATGTGCCCTGACCAGGAATCGAGCCAGTGACCCCTTGGTTCATGGGTCGATGCTCAACCACTGAACCACACTGGCCAGGCCCCAACACCATTTATTGAAGAGCCTTTCCCCACTGAGTCTTCTTGACTCTGCCAGTTGGCTGATTTCCAAGAACTCTCCCTGCGGGACTCCCCTCACTGACTTATAAAGATGTCACTTTCATTTCCTTGCGGTGTAGAGAGGACCGGTTTTTCCGTGCATGAAATGCCAAGATTACCTGGCATTGTTCAATGAGGTCGTGCAGGGCTGCACCCATCGCCTCTTCACACGTATCTCTAGTTCCAGAGAAAGGAAAGGAAAACAACCCCTTCAAGCTGCCATTTGAGAGAGCACAGGAGCCAGCAAAAAGGGGCAGGCAGTGCAAGGCTCACCTCCCTGTGACCTCCAGGGGGACTCCACATGCCAATGAGGTCTGAGAAATGCCCCCTGCTGTGCTCTCTGTCTGGGACTGGTGTTATGGTAAGTGTTCAGTATCTTTGCCAAAGCAAGTAAACTGAAACAACAAGGAAGAACAGAACCCAGTGGAGTTCCAGGAACAGGCCTATTATGTGTCTAATCAACAACATATGTCAGCATAGCCTAAGTAAGTTACCCTGCAGCCATGGAGCAGAGCAGCTGGGAGGGACCAGGGACCGGGAGAGCCAGCTCTCTGAATGAGCCACGGGGCCAGAGGCTGTCCTGTGGTGCCAGAGTCCTGAGGGAATAGATAGATGACTGTTTCTTAATCCTGTGTCCTCGTTAATTAGGACTATTGAATTTCGTAGAACCTGAAGTACATGAATATCTTGTGAGTTTCTACAGTTATTACTAAATAGGATTGTTTAGGACATGATGGAGTCCTAACCCCCAGTGCCTGAGAATGTGACCTTCTTTGGGGAGAGGGTCATTACAGACATAACCAAGTTAAAGTGACATCACTAGGGTGAGCCATCATCCAACATGACTGGTGTCCTTATTAAGAGTGGAAATTTGGATACAGATACACGCAGAGAGAGAAGACATCGTGAAGCGACACAGGGAAAAGATGACCACCTCAGCCAAGGAGAGAGGCCTGGGACAGATCCCTCCCTCACAGCCTCAGGAGGAACTGAACTTGCTGACAACTTGGTTTTGGAGTTCTAGCCTCCAGAACTGTGAGATGATAAGTTTCTGTTGTTGAGTCATCCAGTGTGTGATACCGTGTTACAGCAGCTCTAGCAAACTAATACATACACAGATATTTTGGAGGGACAGTTAAGTCTCTTTTTCATTGAAAGGGAAAATTTGTTCACTAAAGAAAATCTGTAGAAATTTCATGACTCAAAATCAACCAAACAATATTCTGGTATCTATAAATATATATTTAAGATGTATAGTAACAATTGCACAATCCAGATTATGCCTGCCTGAATGATTCTTTGAAAGGAATTTCTTTCACGTGATTAAAGGATTATTTTTATAATGAAGGATAACACAAGAGTTTCATTTTCTCCACATCCTTGCCAACAATTGTTATCTCTTGTCTTCTTGATGATAAACATACTAATAATAAGATGTGAGGTGACATCTTATTGTGGTTTGGATTTGCATTTCCTTGATGATTTGTGATGTTGAGCATTATTTCATGTACCTGTTGTTAAATATTTTGCTTTAAGCTTCATATATATTTCATCATGAGCCCGGCTGCAGTGACTCAGTGGTTGAGTGTCGACCTACGAACCAGGAGGTCATGGTTTGATTCCCTGTCAGGACATATGCCCGGGATGCAGGTTTGATCCCCGTTAGGAGGCATGCAGGAGGCAGCCAATCAATGATTCTCTCTCATCAGTGATGTTTCTATCTCTCTCTCCCTCTCCTTTCCTCTCTGAAATCAATAAAAATATATTTAAAAATATAAATAAATTCCATCATGAACATTAAAACACTCCACTCGCACTGTTAAAGGTTCATTTCTTTAGGATTTTAAGCAGGTTTGGTTTGCTGCAGTACTATTTCCCCTGGAGATTCTTATTATGAGCCGGAAGCTGGGTCAGTACAAAGCTCTGATGGTCCCGTTAGAGTCCATCACTTTTTTTTTTAACTATCAAGAATGATTTCATAATTTTAATGGCTGACCAGAGTAATCATTTTAAGAAGAATAAAAGTGTGGAATATTTTTAGAAGTAACTGCAGAACAGAATGTTGTTCTGTTGCCTTCACATATATATGTCAACATGTCTTAGTGACATTACTTTGGATCACAATCAGTTTTCCTTAAAAGTCGGAAAATATTGTAACTGTGTTCTGAGGTTCAGTGTTAAAAA